AAAGTCAGGAATCTGATTAAATCTTCAAATGACTGTTTCCTCAGCTTGTCAGACTTGGTGCTCTGACCTCCTGTTCTTAGATCCAGACCTTCTGCTCTGACAATTCTCTCAGGTTTCTTATCTCCCAATTCAGGACCACACATGTCAAATGACATGATGGAAGATGGCGATAACATTCAACTGCAGCTAGGAAAAAAGCCTTATGGTAAAACAGGGCTTTAGAGAAGCCTTGGAAACATCTCCCAACTGTAACACAGTAGTGTGGCCTCTCTCCCACTACAGGCAGCAGAGGCATCCTGTTAATGGATTGTACTTCAGGCTCACAAGCTGACCCAGGAGGTCACAGAGCTGGCAAGAGGCATGAAGTTGCTCTGCAGAAGAATGAGATCCAAGCCAGCTTACCGGGGAGCACAAAGCAACAGCCAACGCCAGAAGCCCTTGCTAAGTAAGACTTCGTGGGTATGGTTACACTGGGAAAATCTTTTGGTTAAGAGACATCATTGCCTCAGGTCTTAAAGCCAGTTCGGTAAGAAAGACTTGTTATGGGATTTGTCCTCCCAATATGAATTTCTTCCAGTATGAAAGGACAGGCCTTCAGCCACATGGGGGCCAAACCAGGAAGCTGATGTTTGTACAATAACAGCACACATTAGTAAGTGATACACGCTACCTTTATTGTAATTGCAAAGCCTGAGACCTCAAGGCTTTATATTACACAATACTCCTTTCCTGACATTAAAAATTGAGCACAGAGTACAATGCACTGGGAAGAAAATCAAGTTTGCATACAGATAATGCTACCAAGGATATAATCCAAGACATACTCTTTAATTTCCTTGAGCAATACTTCATTTTGGTTACAGCATTGGTACAGTCCTCCTTCCCAGTATAACTTAAAACTACCAGTGTAGTGTAGCTGATTTAACAAAATATACTGTAGAGCTCAAGTACACATCTCAGAGAATGATGTAGCTTTAGCATTTTCCGCTCTCAGAACCTGCTCCCAAAGCTGGATTGTCCCGAGTTGCGCCAGTATAGCTCACTGTGAAGTCAAGCACCTCCTCTTTCCAAACTATGTAATGCACATCCACTCACCCCCTAAGTAAGAGTGGTAGAAATTTAAGGCTGCATGTCAGTACATTACTTAACAAAAAAGTAATTTCCTTGCTAATGATTTTCTTTTCTGCTCATCTATTTAGAGATACTGATCCACCAAAACTAATTTATTTAGGTCTGGTCCTGACATCGGGTGATGTCAGTGAGATAGGGTCAAATCCTGAATACTCAAGGCAAAGTGGGGAAAAAAAAACAAACAACAAACGACCACATTTAATGTGTGCCAAAACTCTTTAGACACTGACTTTTTTTTTTTTTTTAAACCTCTCACTTATCTTGCCTACACAGTGACCTAATGGTAAGGATGAGAAAAGGAGCTGCCCCTCTGCTAGTCTCTTCCCTCTGCAATTATACAGGTGACTGCCCCTTACAGCAGCAGGAGTTCTGTGAAATGGAGTAGCTGGAAACACCACACTCTAGTGTCTCTAATTAGTTATGAGCAAAAAGTGAAGGAACCTTCCAACACAAATCCAGCACAGATGCTGCAAACTCATGCTACTACTTAGTCTGGGTCACGATGCCTCCAGCTTTATTCCAAAACTTATGCAAAAACCTGAAACCACTTAAGGATAGAACAATAATATCTAAGTGTATAACAATGAGGTATTTGGAATCCTTGAAGAAAAAGTAATGGGATGCCTTAGTGGCCTAGTGGCAAACAGCCAGAATTTGGTTTTTAGTCCATCTCATCTGGCTTCCTGGATCAACAGAGTCAGGGAGTGGTTAGAAGTATTTTGGGATGATGAGGAAGAAGTCACATTTTTCTTTTCAGAAGATGGACTATATATATTTTTTCTTCTTACACTTATTTGTGTTTCTACATGTTTGCTATTCATGTATAAAAACAGAACTCTCTACATGGGAAACAAACAAGAAGTATCATCAACTAAGTGTGGACAAAAGGATAAGATGAGGAAACCTGGTTATGATGCAGTGAAGGTCTACAAGTGAAGACTGTGATTAGCCCTCCAAAACTTGGCTAATGCCTCAGACAGCCTGAGTGCGTGGGTCTGCTTATAGAAACAACATTAGATTTCAACGACAGTAGCTACTATAACCTCACTGTCAAGGAGTGACCTAAACCGGTCGAGAAACCCTTAATCTAAACAGTCTCGGTGCTATAGCTGTCCTGGTCCTTCAATAGAGAACTTTGCTGGCACAGCAGCTACCTCAAATAGTGTGGGTAAAGGAGCCACAATGTCACACAGAAATAGTTATGCTAGCAAAGCCTAGTATAAAAAATAGATAGAACTGTGCCAGAAGAACACAGCTTTACTCAGCTTAACCTGGCTAATTTGGGACAGAAGGGAGGCAAAAATTTACTTCCAGGAGGGAAAAAAAATCCACCACCACCAAATCCTCTCCAGGAGGGAAAAAAAATCCACCACCACCACCAAATCCTCGTTCTCTGACCTATCTATATAGCTGGAGACTGTGCTAAAGTGGCCACAGTGGCATAAGTATAGTGGCAAAGATGCTTCCAGAGCAGAAATGCTTTTAGAGAAGCAGGAGTAAATAAACATGATGCATAAGATCAACAATCATTTCACAGCTGAGCATCTTTTAGTAGAAGGAAACAGAGGAAGTATGGCTGCAAGAGATTTTGAGCGGTCACCTAATCTGTCCTGGAGGAGCAGCCAAACATCAACAATTCCTGGTAAATGGTAACCGTTTGTCTACCTCGTTCTCCAGTGACAAAGATTCTGGCTGAAATACTGTGCTTATACACTGCTGCTTACCCACTTCTTCAATGATCACTTATTCTTAAAACTCTTAAAAGTCTTTTTTTCATAGAGAAGGAAACAGATGCCTATACCTAAAGGCTAAACCGTACAAGGACAGATGTTTATACTAAAATAGCATATGCGATAGGGTTACAGAAAGACATATGCAGTCTAGCAGTAATCCACCCAGCTTTTATCGGTGAAGACACAGCTTCAGCCACTTCTGCACTCTCTGCAGAGCAGATAAAGAAACAAATCAGCACCTTGCATAAGGGTGACACTCTTCCCTCTGCCTCCTTCCCAAAAGGGTTCAAGAGATCAGAGGATCAACTTATGATAGAAAGAAATAGTAAGAGTGAAGCCCTGGGCAAATGGAGCACCTTGAAATCACAGGAGAAAAAGAGAAGCCTTGATGCAAGCAGAGAGCAGGAACAGATAGAAGAGGGCATGTGGCTGTACAGAATGGATGATCTCAGTACAGGGAAGGGGAGCTGGCAGACACACACAACCCCAACATCAGATGGCAAAAATGCCAAACTACTGGGGTACATAAAGCATTATCTCGGAAAGCCATTGGCAGGGAAAGAGGGAAGACCCCTGAAAATTGTTGGTTAGAAGAAAGATTGGGGGGGTACAGATTACGGGGTGGGAGATGGCATAACCATGCACCACGGACATGGTGTAAATCTGAGGAGAGAGGAGTTACAGACAGCCCCTAAAGTTGAGGTAGTAGACAGAGATCGTGGTTCCGTCCCAAAACCCTGGGATATGCAGCCTGCAAAAGCTGCTAAGAGTGCACCTCCTAAATACATGGCAAGTCAGAGAAAGGAGTTCTGACCATTAACAGGGAAGTGAGGGCATTTAAAACAGCTTGAAGAGCAATGAGGAATAATATTTATCTCTGAAAATATTAGCACATAGAAAAGAAAAAGGAACATTTTTATTATCTCCTCATCTTTCTGTAACAGATTTTCAAGAGGAACAAAATGTACCCATAGCGTCATTGTTATTAAAAACCTTGGCTAGAATAAGGAGCAACAATCTTATTTTCTTCTGCTTTTCCTTTGACACTTCGCAAAGCTCTTCTACTACAAAGTTAAGTATACATGAATGTCTGCCACGGCAAAAACAATAAGCACAGTTCATGACTGTGGCTTGTCTTTGTGAAGCAGTGGCACACAATATTTTAATATTAAAATGTTTTAATGCAGTTTTAACATTAACACTTATTGGAAAAATTTGAACAAGCTAGGTATTAAAAAAGGTTGTACCACTAAACAGCTCTTACACTATCATTAAGTCATTTAAAATGTCACACCCCCAGGCACAGTTTCACAGACACTAGAAACTATCCTAAGCTGGTTCCGCTCCTGAGGGGGGAAAAAGGCTCCCTCTCCATTTAGGCAGAAGAGATTGAGCAGAACATTAATGGGCACAAGCAGCTAGGTATACTGCAGCCATCTGAAAAGGAACAAGAGACTGGTGGAGTGGGAAGATAAAAGCCCTAGGGATCCTGAGCTGCTTATCAATAAGATCAAAGATCTTTAGATATGGGGTTAAAGCCCATGATGTAAATCAACGACGTGGCTTGGGTGTGTCATCTAACTGCCCATCTATCAACTAGCTCTTACAAAAAAGGGAAGTCCTCCCTTCCTTCTCTTTTCCCCATTTGTTCTCATGATCCTGTCTGATGCTTCTCCTAAAGGAGAAGCTGGCTAAGCCAATTCACTGTAGGGTTATAGGAGCATCACTGACAGCAGAAAGGAACAGAGCACGTGTCCAGAGCTGAGCAACACCACCACTCCTTTTTAGCTAAATTAAATTGGCTAAGATGTGCCATCAAACCACACTCAGGACATTAATTTTAGGGTAGGTTTGTTTTTGGTTTTTTTTTAAACATTCAGTTAGCATTTTAACAAATACACAGCTTACTGTTATCATAACAACAGAATTAATCATACTTGTGCAGCTATGACTGCGTAACCACGTCATTCACCAGCATTTGAGATCAACAAAACCTTACGTATTGCCATATTCTTATAAAAGCTTGGACACATTATGTTTTGTCTTTACTATCTCACATTCATTGTTCAATATACAGCTTAAGTGGTATTGTCTTTTGAGATAGCTACTGTAAAAAACCCAAACATTAATACTTACAGTTCCAGGCCTTGTGAAGTCAATACTATGTGCTACACTTTGTCTCATCTGATTGCTAAACAAGCGAACACAAACACTTTGAAGATACTCTGGTGTGATCTAAAAAGTAGGAAACATAAAGAGAGAATAGGACTATATAAAACATACACTTTCTACCAGACAAGTGTTTCTATATTAAAGGTTTGTGGGTTTTTTTTTTTAAGAGGGCAAGAAATCACACACCTGAGACTCATCGATGCAAGCACAAGGTATATACTGCAACTACAGTTCTGTTCAGAAATTAAGAAAACTGTAAACTCTCTTCATCTGAGAATAGTTATGCTATTCACAAGACTAACGCTAAACACTTTCAGAGAGTCTAGAAGAAAAACAGAATTTGTCACACCTGTGTTTGAATACAGATTTTCCTCAATCAAAAGGTAAGTTGTCCAACAGTAAATATGAAGCAGTTTTGTGCTTTAGACTTAGACAATGATATGCTGATGTGTTGTCTAGCTAAAGAGCAGAACTTACACAACTGTCTTGCACAGCAGAGAGAATAAATATGAATTACAGAGTACAGCACTTTGTGTTTCAATGCAAACCATCTCAGCGGGTTTAGTTTTTTTGTTTTGGGAAATCTACACCACAAAAGAACTGCTTGATTCCAGAACAGTTATTAGCTTCCCCAGAACAGAGGTGAGAGAACTGAGATTATAGAAACGCAGATGGGGACACTTCTGATATTCTCAGACCTATAGCGAGACAACAAAACCCTTCAAATTCAGAATGCTGTAACTTCAACATGATTTTATTCAGTACCCAGCTCCACTTTGGATTCAGAAATGACAGAAACCAAGATTCATAACGAAAGAGCACCCTCAGCTGGATACACTTGGGAAGGATCAAATGACTGCCCAGGAACTCCGAGGTCATTCTCCCTGCTAACAATTCACAGCTCCTTTAAAAGCATCTAGAGGCCACTAACATCTACCATAATAATAAACTTCAGGTTACAGTTATAGTTATAGTACAGAGGCATGCTCGCAGAGAAGACGGCACAAAAGATGAAGCATAAAATCATCTTTGTATAAAAAATACCCATAAGAAAGTTGTACCTTCTCCAGTCACATACGCGTGGCCTGTTTCACACAGTGAATAACTCATTCACTCCTACCCCAGTTCCCTTTACCAATTAAATTAACAAGTTCAGCTTAGCAGAACAGAGAGTAAAGCTCTTCCTCACCAAAATTTTAGATGAGAAGATTGTTTCCACCACAGTGTAACTTAAAACAGACTTGGCAGCAGTTTTAAATATACAACAACCTCTGATGGGCTGGATTGCAGTCAGTAATCACAGAAATGCCCTCTAATCACTGCTGATGCCAAAGCGCAAAAGGGGACTCTCACAAAAGATCTGAGATGTCTTGTGAGATGGTGATAGTTTCTTCAAGATTTCTGAGCCAGCACAATTCAACCCAACTTCTGCACTAACTTTATCCTAGTACACAGCAGCAACAGAAGAATCTCTCATCCAAAGTGCTGTGTTCATTAGTAAAGAGACACAGTGCTTACAGAAATGCTCATAACTACAAAGTTTAATTCATATTTTAGTGGCGTTCTCTCTCCATTTTCGGGGGGGTGGGGGAAGCAAGTACACATCTGAGTCATCTCTTACCATCTTGCCATTGACTGTGGCCTCCAAGGAATCCACCAGCTCTGCAGTGACTCCTATGAGATTATGGTAGTCTGCCTGCATTTTGTTAAATCGTTTCAGGTAGGTCATGGTCCTATGCTCAGATTCCACTAATTGTTGATGAAGATGTTGCAACATTTCTGTCAATATAATAATGAAAAAGAAATAACATCACCTTTTCAACCGAAAGGACAAAGGAACCCACAAGCATTTTTACTGCTCTGAAGGGACAACTTCAAGTGCTGCTGTGGAATTATTTTTATCCAAGGGGCGGAATTTCACTGCAAGGATAATTCCACACTACTAGTGTGATTTCATTTCATCGCGACAGCTACAAGTATTTATTTTGCCTTAATTGCCCAAAGAAACAATTGCTTCACAGTTACAGCAGCAATACAACTATTAGACAGTAAACATCACTGAATACATTTGTGAAGAGGATACTGTTTTAAAGGACTGTTAATACAAGAAGTTCCGTGCTATCAGAGACAAAATGAGGCCGTGGGCATCGAATCAGAAGAATATATGACAAAATGCAGCTCAGACTTGGTTAACTGAACTTGCTATCTGCAGATGAGATTCATACACTATCTTCTACATTCACTAAAGTAACTGGGTAAAAAACATTATCACACCGAGCAACTGGAAAGGTCAAGCAGCCACTTCAAAGATAAAACAACAAAACAGGAGAACAACAGTACCCAGAGATTCATGCCAGTGTTTGTTAGATTACACTGTGAGGCTGGGTGTCTTCTCCAGTTTATTTACAGAAATAGACCACTGATATTTAGGTTATGTAGTGCTTTGCTTATTTTAAAGTAAATACTAAGTCTTCTATCTTTTAAGGAAAATGGTGCAACTCACAGAAAAAACCCCAAACATTCAAGTTATCCAGTTCCTCATGTGCTATTAAAATATTCACTGAATTCCTCAAAGTTGCAGGGAATTCTCTACTTCATTCTCTACTTCTACACAAAATTTTTCAGGTGATTCCATCATTTACTGGTTGATGGTAAGCTATATTAGTTACTTTTAGTACCTTTAGTTTCTGAAAATAACTCAAATTTTTCTTTTATTTCTGTCTAAATTAAAAAAAAAAAAGTTACATTCCTGATACATTTTGTTCCATTGGGTTCAATTACTTTAGAGACGACAGAAGCAAACTAAGCACCAAAATCCGTATCCTCCATCCCAGTCTCAGCCCTAGCCAAATTAGCATTCTACATGGAAGTCAGGCATGGAATCTGGAGCCGTGTACCGCAGTGCTCATCTTCATGACTGGACAAAACTATGAAGGGAGGCACAATAATTCTATTGTTACTGCTGATGTTTATATATTTTGCTAGAACATTATGTTTTAAATTAGTTTGCTGAGAAGCCAGTGTTGCTCTAGTGTTGTGAAAATGGCATCGTGCCCATCTGCAAACAGACTGAATAGTTGCCATAGGACTTTCTGTTAAACAATGGGCAGGAATCAGCTTGACTACAGGGTTTCAGACAGAAGTAGGATCCATTTTCACAGATTTAAAATATTTTTGGGTCAGAGTAGAGCATTCCAAACAGCACAATATGACACAGTTTAGGTCCAAACAGACCCAGAGGGAAGAAAAACAAAGTAAGTAGCTAAGATGCAAAATTGGAAACTAGAAAAACTAGTTCCTATTCCTGGCTTTGAACAGACTTTGCCCATGATCTCTGAGGAAACCATTATCCTTTTTCATGATTCACTGTCTCTTTCCATAAAGATGTAGATCATATGCTCCTGGTAACATAGAAGCATTGGGAAACGTTACTGATATAAGTAGAAATCTTTGGGATCTTCATTTGGAGAATCCTAAGCAGTACAAAGTTTCACCACACAGTTATGGTCTGTGTTTAAAAAAACCTCAGAATAGAATACCTTGCAGCTATGATAAACAAGCTCTGGAGAATTGAGGTGTAGTTATTTAAAAACTGTCCCTTGCCATTTGCTCCCCTGCTCTCTGAACTCAGGCACGAACCTCTGCTGTCCCATGGCAGCTGGCATAAGGGTGGTAATCTTAAGCAGAGGGAAAAATGGGGAGTGGAAGTGCCGTATTAGCACCACGGCTTATCTGGTAGAGCCTTCATAAGTCGTCCTCTACAATGGCGATCTAATTATATTGCAGGTAGTGATGTACTACTACATGCACAAATATCTGCCAAACAACTTCTGACAAACTGCTTCAAAAAGCAATAAACACGTGAACATATGAGACGCAAAACTGCCAGAAAAATACTATTCAAATACAACTGTTCATAAAGCTTTTATTACAAATTAAAAAGATCAAAGTCACTAGGTAGCTCTATGAATTCAGATGTTGGAAATTGCTTTAAAAACTTGTCACATCTTATGGATATTTAGGGTTTCTGAAATAGGCTGCTTTCATCTCATTTATATGAAAAGCAGTAGATGGGCAGAACAGCTTATTTTTACTTTCAGAAAATTTAGCAAAATTATCTTTTTAATAGGATCTTTTAGAGAAAGTGTGCATTAATAGACTTTAGCTATAAATCGACAGTCTTAAAATAAAGCATGGAATACAGAGAAGGTACATTTTCTTAATTCTAATCTGTATTTTTTCAAAATTTGTGAGTTAAGGGGGGGGGGGAAGACAGTTATTTTACCCTCACAGCCTCCTCCCCTCTAAGAATGGCTGCTTTCCGAGAATCATTCATGAATCACAGCACTCTGCACCTGCAGGATTTGTGACTGACACCTGATATCAAACTGCAAATCAAGCCACCCTTATGATATTTTCCTTATACTTTCTAGGATGGAGCCAAAACTGGTGTGAAATAAGAATAGAAGCCGAGACAAGCCACAGATCCTGTTCAAATCCACCAAAATACACTTGGGGGGGAAAAAAAAAAAAGAGAACACTAGAACAGCTCCCAGTAACATCAAGTAATCTTGCTGAGAATGCCAAACTTTTTACAATTCTTTAAGCTGCTAAAACCATCTCAACTGCAATCAATATTCATCAACTTAAAAATCAGAAGAGTTAAGACAGCTTCCAAAGACAACCCACATTATTCTTCCTTGATAATAATAATTCAACTTTCATTTTATTTTTATTCCACAGCCATCACTGCTAAAGTGCTACCACAGCTTTAATTTGAGACTGCTCCAAAACAAGAATATTTTTCTAAACTAATAAAGATTCTGAGAGCAACCATTGCACAAAACTAGCCACTTTTCAGCACTTTATTCCTTTGCCTAGATGAGCAAATTGGAATACATTTTTATTTAACTGTGATACCACACATTTGATTCAGAAATTTCCAGTGGGCGTATCTAGAGCGTGACTTTCACTCAGAGGAAAGTTGGAAGCACCAAGTCATGAAACATAAACCTACTCATAATTTGCTTGCTTTTCATAGCCCAGTGGGGAGAACTTCCAGTGGTGAAAATTCATCTTCCAACTACAGTCAGCAGGAAAAACTACATAACCAAAACTAAATGCAGCTCATGAGTGCTAGTCTTGGCAACTAAGAATCAGGGTCCAACTTACCTCTTGCCTGTTAAATCCAGGGATTATCAGTTATAAACACTGGTCTTTACTAAGAAAAGAGAGTCAAAGAGAAGAATCACAAAGCCTTGACATATCTTGCGTTTTTTATATCACTATCGTCTCACCTGTAAGTAATTTTACTAAAAAAGGAAAAATATTTAATTAAAGTTTCTCTTACCAAGAGGGCAGGAAGCTTTCATCATTGACATGTAGCTGACCGAAGTACAGACAGCTGTTGGAATAGCTGGTGCTGTGCTGCCCCATTCCCCCCTTGCATTCCTGCCATATCCCCATAATCAGTAACAGCATTCATGCAGACAGATCAGGGAGCTACCAGTCAGGTAAAAATTAATATTTAGTTGCTTGTTTAAAATGTTAAATCATTGCCATCTGAGTCAGGATAGGGGAGAAGGAAAGAGTGCCTTTCAGAGGCAGTTCAGATTTAAGTCACCTTGCAGCAGCAATCTAACTGCACCCGTAATAGGAAGCAGAGAGTAACACCACACATTTGGCTTCTCTCTTTCCCTCCCCCAGACACAACTTCCAACACTGACAAATGCTTTCTACATATGATAAGCTTATAGGTGTGTGTGTGTGTGAAGCTCTGGACCTAATACTTACCAGAACCATCTGTGGAGGAAAAGAGAGGAAAATAAAGGACAGAGGACTAACCTCCTGGTTTAGGAAGATACAGCGTACAGTAAAGCTTGTGACTCTGCCAAATGAAGATGCTGGCACTAGGCATTACCTGAACTACTGCATGTTTCTACCAGTATTCTTGCCGGCTCTCTCATGTATGTAATTGTCAAGCCTTTTTAATGTTTTGACTCCAGTTCCTATGAGCAGCCAAGGAGTTACCCATATGCACATAATTCCACAATAAGCTCTTCTCTCTAAGTGAGAGGTTGGTCATTATCCTTTACAACAACTTACCTACACCTCAAACATGCTTCCTGAACTTGTGCTTGCTCTCTCTGTCTCTCTAATCTCAGCCCACCTCCACATACTTTGCTAGAAGCACTGACTTTGGCCAGGTTGAGCTCCTGCATACAATGCAGCAGAGCTCTCAGCAGAGGAGTTGCAGGTCCCAAGAGCTGCTGTCAGACATCAGGGCTCCTTAGAGGACACCGAAACCTTGCTATTAGGAGAGGCAGTAGTTGCCTTGCTGCCTTCTTGCTTACCTCATTTCCATAAAAATTACTATTCATATTCTAAACTGGTATCTTTCCACATTAATAGTCGTTCAGACTATAGCAAATCTTGACAAACAGGTAGGTCACACTTCACCTTCTCATATGCAGCAGCCTGACACACTTCCTCCACTCTCCCCTTTCCTGAAATGGTGGAAGAGCAGCCATGAACTCATCCACAGATTTGTAATGAGGCAGTGAAGGGGACAGTAGCTGAACACACTTCCAAGTACTTCATTCCCTCCGTTCCTGTTAGCACACAGGACACACAGAAGGTCTGAAGCTCTCTGTGCAAGATGCCAACCATTCTGCAATTCTTCTCTTTCCAGCCAAACTGAAAACATATAGGAGAGCTGTAAGTTAAGCACAACTGCCACACAGATGGCTTTGAAAGTCATATATTAAAGTTTTTTAGCAAATGCGTAAAAAGTCAGACTGTAGCAGGTTAATCAGGAAAGGTAAACACACTAAACTCTCCAGGACACCCTCAAGAGCATATGTACCACCCCACCCAAATTTGAAGTGCTTCAGTATGTCAGACTAATAACTGGCAACTATTTACAAAAGGCTGTTTTCAGGATTCTTTGCCATACTGGTCTTCATTCATGTGTTGCCTATTAATTTTCTTTGCGTTTCTCCTTCACTGATAAGTAAACATTCTCCAACAGTGAGTATTTACTGTGGATCCCATGTGATCTGAACAGCATACTGCAAAAATAACCTCTCAGATCCAAAACTTTCATACGAGACAGGCCTCAAGTAACCTTTATGAAAAATCCAAACCTATTCAACCTCCAAGGCACGTAACATCTACAAATTAAGGCTGACCTGCACGGATTCAACACCATGACAGACCCTGTACTTGTACAAAGCACAGAACCTGTCCAAATAAAAAATAATTAGGCCCAAAATAATTCAGGCCCAATCGTGTAGTTATTTCTTTTTAATCAGAGTACGGAATTATTGCCTTCAGGAAAGTCCACCACAAGGAAAAAGAGTAACTTCTGGAAAATAAAAATCCACAAAGATCTTTCTATTATTCAATGAAAGTCTAATGCAACACAAAGCACAAAATAACAAAGAAAACACCTGGAACTCACAGTGGGAGATGAGCCTAACTTTCTCCTTAATTCAATCTACAAATAGTAAATCCTCAGTGTAAAATTACAGATTAAAATAACTCAAGAGGAAAAGTCATTTTAGGAACCCAGCTGGGCTCATATAAATCCCTACCAATAAAGTGAACACAGTAAGTCAAGTGAAAAAACGAATGCAAGGGAGTTGGGAACCAGAGTTCTATTTATTGAACTGATTTTTAAAAGGCACATATTTCAAGTACCATCAACATGTAACGGGATTCAGTGCTGAAATAATTATTTTTTAAAGGACCCCAAGTCACTTACACACTTAAGTGTGTATGAACAGCTTACCTAAAAATGCAACACATGAGAGTCACACTTAAATTAACACATTCTTATTCAAGAGATATCAATATGTACCATTTTAGGAGTTTAAACAGGATGAGTGAATAAGAACAAAAATCAACTTTGTCTAAGATCATCAGATAGTCATCAGAATAACTGAATGAGATTTGAAATCTGGAAGATGCAGCTAGGCATAAGCAGGTATGGGAAAGGAATCTGAGGAAACTTACTTTCACCATAACTGAAAACAGAGAGCTGGTACGCACTTTGTACAGAGTTCTCCACTTGTTTTTACCGTATTTCAGGACAGAACAGACTTAAAATACAAATCCTACTACTAGGCCCCCTCCCATTTCTAGTACATGCCTATGCTCAACCCTACATGACTTCAAGCAGTCTAGCAATAACTGTCACCAAGACAGGGGTCTGGATTTCAAAGGACTTTTTGCCATGCAGCACTAGTTTCCCCGTCATTGCAGGTGTACTTTCCACTACTATTATAGCCCCTAATAATCTTACGGAATATCCTTACCACATCTCAGCATTTACCTTTGTTGCACTGTCCATTCTCCTTCTGTTGTGCAAGTAGGAGCAGTTCAGGAAAAGGTGCGTCCTTTCAGAACGTTTGTTCCAGAGACACAGAATGAGAAATTCAACCAACTGGCAAACCCAACCAAGTCAAATATTCCTATTGTCCCAGGCAACAGCCAATGCCTGATGCTTCACAGGAGAGCAAGAATAAATGGATCAATAATAAACACATAAAAGTCTCATAAGTGCACAATGTACAATGTTGCATGGAGACTTGAGACTTTTTGCTGACCTTTAAATATGCTAGATCCAGTCCTAAAGTATAAGATATGGTAACTCCAGTCTAAATGTATTAACACCAAAATCAAAAGTGAAACTGCTGATTTTATATAAAATACATGCAAATGTGTTACACAAAACATCCATAACATGGGAGTGAAAGCAGTGTTTTGATCACTGCTCCCCATCCTGGCAAATGGGCAGGAATGGAATGGAAGGAATATAATTTCCAGCTCATCATTCAATACCACCATGGCAAGATGCTGCTTTAGAATAAAGTAAGATACAGCAGGAAAAGGACTTTCAACTTCTCCTGTAAAAAAAAAAAACAAACTAGAAACAAAGACTCCAGTTCAGTTCTCTCTACCTTGCCCTTAACTGTACTGACCAAAAATGAAGAAGATAATTTGTCATATAGCTAGTTAGTTTGCAAATTAGGCCTGACAACACAGCTTAAACAATATTGGTAGAAAAACAATACAGTCTGAAGCACAAGCCATTTAGTAAAACAATAATTTCTGAAATCCTTAAAAGCCCTGGAAAACTTTCAGCTAGTGCCTGAAATGGCTAATTGAAAAGACTAATAGCTTTACAAATGCTAAGAAAGAAGTCAGGTCAGGTTGGTGCCTTGGGGTGTCCTGTACTTTATACGTGGAAGCAAAGAATGGTCGTATGATAAATATACAGGTTCATATGCATCTATACATTGTCTTTACATAACTTTTTCAAAAGGTCTTTCTGAACGTGGACTATAAACAATGTTTCCTTATCATAAAAACACTGAACTGCAACATTACTGCAATTCTGCAATAAATCTTAGCAGCACACTCTTCCAATAAATTATACTGCCTCTTTATAGTAATTCTGATTATCTTCAAAGTGTTTTCTCTAAAGGATACAAATAAATTGAGAAGCCGGGGAGTCTGTCTGGCTTTGAGAGTCAGAGACAGGAACTTTTCCAATCTTGTCCTCAAATCCAACGTCCAAGAATCCTTGAAAAGAAAAACAAATTATGACAGTTGTTCACCAAATATGTACACTCTGCTGAAAGTACTGTTTGGATCACAGCAACCTTCCACTAGCAAACAGGGCAGCCAGCACTGTATTGAAAAGATTTTCCCTTCACTGTTACTGAAGTGAACGTGTTTGCTGGCTACCCATAAAAGTGTACAGAAGTTAGAAGAGAGTTCAGTATTATTCCTAGAGAAGAGTTCTAAAAACATGATGTAGCTTTATTTCAAGTGTAAAACTATCATATAGTGTTGGTGCCTTGTATGCACATGCAACAACTGCCTCTAAAATAGAAGTACCTTTAAAACATAAGCAACTTGAGAAAAAGATAAAAAGATGAATATGAATCTTAAATTTATTAAATAGAGTACGAGCTGAATAATTTTCCATTGCTCAGTTTTCAAAAAGTAATCACTGTAGTCATCTTTCACTCCTAACAAGATCTGGGAATTGTAAATTTTGTCAATAACTATTGCAAGTGTCATGACATGACATCAGTGATCAGGGTACAACATTTCTAAAATAAGGATTTGGAGAATAACAACTCATGTACGAAAAATAGACCAACATATCAGCCACTAACTGGAATGCTGTCTTCTGCCTGGCATAGTGTCTCATAAGCACAAGAAAAGAATAGTTAAGGAAAAAAGCCAAACTACACCTAAGAATTCACTGAATACTCATTTCTTCTATTTCAAACCTTCAGTCAAGCTAGTTTCTGCTTGACGAAAAGCTAGCCAACAGATGAAAAAGCAGTATCTTCCAACAAGTAGCAGGAGCTTCCTAAATTTACTGCTGTATATGTGTATGTTGCAAGCTGTTCTCGCAGCTCAGATTTGCCCTTATTTCATCATGCTGGAGAACGTACAGAATTTACTTGCTGCATTTACCAATTCACTATCCAGACAGTGGTGCACCACGGTATGCTGTATATTACCAAAGGAACCATGTCTCCTACAGAGAGGAGTGTGTATTATTTTTCAAGATGTATTACACAAACAGACAGGAACTCCAGCTATATAAAGCATCAGACGCCTGAGAAAAAAAAATGCTATAAGAACACTGCTTAGTAGACTAGTGACTCACTGCTGTTCTTTCTCAAACATAAAACAATCTGTGTTTCAACACTAACATGGAATGAGCTGTACAATTCCCACAAGAAAATATGAGTGACTGTAGACTAAGAGCTTGGACACTGGGTTACTATGAATAAACCCGAGGATCTCATCGTAGACAAGGCATTAAAAAGAAAAAGCTGCTAAGTATAATTAAAAAAGAGTAGTCATATCCCATCTCTGAAGTCAACCAGTACATCTCATTATTTATACCTAGTCCCAAAGGAAAATGACAGTATATGCCTTTTTTTGGTGTTAAACTGGAGCTCCTCATCAGCTGGTACATCCAAAGTCAGCCCTAGGGCAACTATCACTTAAGCTTTGATTTGATATCAAAAAGGGTGTGGCTTCATGCAGGCCGAAGGTATCTCCTCCCACCACAATAACTCCCTGCAGCTCCTTAGATAAGCCAGCACAACTGTCCATGTGGTAGGATGGTGAAGCATTTCAAGCATATAACCCTGCAAAATATTATACATATTTTACAAACAAATTTGTGTATGCGTGTGTGTGTGTGTACATGGGAGCTGTATACACACACATTCACAGGCAATAAAGCAGATCAGTTCCTTGATCCAGCCCAAGTGCAACCACATAACCAGCCATTTCCAGCACAACCAAGAAGTTAAGGCGCAGTTTTGCACCGCAGGAACAAGCCATCAGCAGGTGGAACGGTGGCTGTACCCTCCCCACAGGAATTGCCACCAATGCTTTGGAACATCAAACTACAGCTCTGGACATCATCTCCTAACCATCTACCTTCACGGTGCCCAGAAAGCAGTCAATGTAAGGGTGTTTTATTACCCCTTCATCAATAGAATAACTGTAGATCATCATCACATTGAAAGTGCACCTGCAAATGAGATCTATTTTGAAGTTCAAGCACACTACCTTTTACACTCTCTTCTCACCTTGCACGTGCAAGCCTAAGAACTGAACTCTGAAACAGCCATTCAAAGGCAAAGGCTAAAACATATTTAACAAAAAAATTAACTAGGAGAAATGCCTGTGGCCAGAGTCACCAAACCACTAAGCACAGTTATGCTCTTCCAGCATTTTTTTTTGGGGGGTGGGGAAGAATCTCAGAACACAGACAACAGTGACTCATTTTCTGTTACAGGAGGATGACGTATAAACTTGACTTTCTCTTTTCCACATTAAATGGCATTGCTTCAGCCTCCTTATGCCTAGCTATCATGTTTTAAATCCAGCTATATATATACACAGATAGTGGGGCTGGGCAACTACCTCAAAGCACATAAGTGGACTTAAACTACTATATAGCAATTCCCAGAAGCATGCGTATTTCAGGGTTGTGTGGAAAGGAAGAAGAGGTAGCAATTCTTATTTATGGACACAAAGCTGCGTACCATTTAGGACTCAAGCAAATATAAAATATATTTAAGATGGTCATCTGTTACTGATAGCGCTCTCACAACCCTTCCTCCATCAAATATATGTTCTTTTATGATTGTACAGTTTCTGTTAAAGGAAACAATAAAAGCGATTACCAAACTAAACATCATTCAACATCTATCACCCCATGAGAAAACATCATAGATACCACCTCTGCAAAATTTTACCTGGAAAAGTTCTTTAAATGAAGGATGTACCATGGGGTTCGGAACAAAAGGCAAAGCATAGAAGGGAAGAAACTCTGTAGTTTGGCTCAGTGCAGCTCCTTTTGTTTCCAGGTATGCCTTAAAATGAGAAATCCTTTCCTCAAATTCAGCTTTGTCCTAGGAAATAAAGCAGCACATTTATTTAGAAAACTACCACTTTGAATGCACTGTAAAGCTGGCAAATATAACAGAGACCTAAATACTTAGCATCAAGTTTGAAATCCCAGAATATTTGTTATCTAAAAAGCAACATTTATTTAACTAGAGAGCACTATATCTTGTTTTCACCACTCAAAAAAGAAAAATTAAATCGATGAAAATAAAGCAGCACATTGATTTAAAAACCTACCACTCTGAATGCACTGTAAAGCTGGCAAATATAACAGAGACCTAAATACTTAGCATCAAGTTTGAAATCCCAGAATATTTGTTATCTAAAAAGCAACATTTATTTAACTAGAGAGCACTATATCTTGTTTTCACCACTCAAAAAAGAAAAATTAAACCGATGTTGTTATTTGTGTCATCCAGGTCCAACAAAAGAAGAGAGGGACAATTGCTTTTTGAATGTAAAATATTCCTGCCCACTTCAGGCTAGATTTCTAAAGCAGAGTGCCATTTCCACACTCAGGGCAGAGAGGAAACACCTATTTTAGACATGCTTTCTTTCAGTGATAAGTGCAGAACCATAAAATCCACTCACACAGCACCAGGAAGGGGAGCTGGCACACGGAACAGACCAAAAGCTCCTTAGAGGCTGGAAAACACACTGAAGGCATCCAAATACTCATGTAGCAGCTGACAGGTGTAAGGCAGGAGCTATTAAGCCCTGGCTGATCTGGCTGGCTCCAGGCTACTTAAACGTCTCTTCATCATAAAAGTCCCATGTAACAGAGATTTTATTTTATGACAGCTTGGAATTACAGTTTTCAATATGATATATCGAGCCGGTCAAGATTCAGCTTCCCCATTTTATCAGAAATGTTTATATTTCAACACATGGCTTCAGTCCAAACTGGAAGCAAAATTAAGTGTTTTAAGAATCTCCTATGGACTACAATTAGAGGTGTGAAAGTATCAGCATGCTGGTATTTTCCAAGTCAAAATACTTCAGGAGCTCCAAGATAAGGACATCTCCAACTTGAAAGTATCAGCATGCTGGTATTTTCCAAGTCAAAATACTTCAGGAGCTCCAAGATAAGGACATCTCCAACTTCTTGGCAGAGTACCATGGGACAAAGCCCTGGAGGGATGAGGGGCCCAAGAAAGCTGGGTAATATTCAAGGATCACTTCCTCCAAGCTCAGGAGCGATGCATCCCAACAAAGAGGAAGTCAGGCAAAAGTGCTAGGAGGCCTGCATGGATGAACAAGGAGCTCCTGGACAAACTCAAACACAGAAAGGAAGCCTACAGAGGGTGGAAGCAAGGACAGGTAGCCTGGGAGGAATACAGAGAAATTGTCCGAGCAGCCAGGGA